GTGTTGGGCAGTACTATCCTACAGCAGAATTAATTAGTTTACTCTGGCCTAATAGTACTGCCTGTGTAGACGGTGATGCTTTACTGTGCAGCTAATTAGGCAAGTCCACAGTAACCATCTCATGTAGATGCACCCAGGAAATCTGAATTATCTAATTGGAAAAAGACTCAAGAGGATTTTAAGAGGCAATAAGCTTCTTTAGGTCACCACAAAGTACTCGATATTCTTCAAAAACTATAGAATGTGGTTGACATGCTATGTTATCAGCACTCAGAAGAAAAAAGAAAACAAGAAAATCCTAATGAAAATACTAAGTAGGACACATTATCTTGCCATACAGTGACTTGAGCAGAATGCCATTTTACTGAACTAGCTGAAAATATGCCTTTACGTGGAGAAAGGTGATTGTAACTTTATTCAGCTGCTTTGCTTGCAGGCAGTATATGATCGTGATATCTCAAAATGGCTAAAAAACCATCAAGACAAATTTACAAATCAATTTAATGGAAATGAGGTAAAAAAATTAGGGTTTTTACGTCATGAAGATTATTTCTAAAAATAATTCCTGGAAAGTTGCATAAAATGAGAATATGTGGGCCCTGGCAGCTGTTTCATTTGTGGTGCAATTCACATGTTTGTAACATCTAACGTGTTTGTATATTTTAACGTGCTACACATTCAGCCATTTATGGCATAATAAAATGGCAAACCAGCTACAAGAGTATTTCACATTTAATGTGGATTATTGTTTTTTGTGGCTGGTTTGCATCACTCTTTAAATTGAATGGTGGCTTATGTCCCTGACTTGGAGCACCCTAATGCCCAACCCAACAATCAGCTGATTTTATACCATGATCATTGGGACATAGCACATGGCAGCCCTGAGTTTCAGACCAAACCGTTCCCTGCCTGATTACGAGAGGCAGTCCAGTAGTCACATATTTGGGATCTGATGAATTTTATCCCTTCTCCCCTAGATTGTACATCCTGCAGTTCACATCTGGCATGGTTGGACATGCTATTTTTGGTATTTGGCATAAAATTCCTGATGCCAATTACACAAATTATATTAATGTCTGCCAGAGGCCTATGAAAAAGCATGGTATAGAATATAGTTGTACAATGTAGCCTGTACATCAGCAGAGGTGTTCATATTGATTATTACAGTTATTGCTGCATATAAGCCTGAGAATGAACAGCTGCCATAGGACATACTATCATGGTGACACTAAACTGACTGGCTTCATAAGAGATACGTAACTACATTGCAATAGGAGGAACCACAAGTTACCTATACTCATTGCTATAAGCATACTTTGAATTTGGTGTGCTAGGATACTGGTCAACAGAATACTGTCTTAAAAGAGACTCTTGAAACTGTGTATGAAATCACAAAATGAATTTAAAAAATCATCCAACCAAGATGCTCTGCCTCAGGGCGTTGTGTCTATCACCAGGCATCTGTGTCCTGTGTCCAACAAGAGGCTTCAGGCAGAAATTTCTGAACACTACCTTGTACTGTGAGCAACTTGAGAGATTGCAAACTTTTTGACAAGAGATCCTGAAATGGGATTTGAATAGCTGCTGCAGAACCTCAAATAGAAATATTTAATTTCCTCTTTGGTACTGAACTAGCCTGAAAAGTCCTAAACATGGTAAATCATCAGTCCAGCATTTGGAAGCATTTGGAGGTTTTTGCAATAGAAAAAGCCAGTTACTTCTGAAAATGACACTTGATGCACTTCAGATCCTATAACCAAATGAGAGATGCAACTTATTTTGGGAGCAAACTCACCAGAAATATTTAAACTTGGGACTAGCTGAACTGTCTTAATCTACAAGGAAAGCAAAATTTCCTGAAAAAGCACAAATAGGAACAGATTCACCCAGGTGCCCAAATTCAGTACAGCAGTTTTATAGGTATATCTGTTTTGCACTAATACTATTTTTACGATACTAAGTGTCTGTTTCCCAAGTTAGTTAGTTATTAATGGTATTCTTGCTTTGTTGTGGTGGGGTAGGGTGCAGGAGGACCTGAAATCTTGCTCAATCCCCAAAGTTTCCAGGCCTATGGTTGTGCCTGTATGATTCTCCCCAAGATTTCACTAACGTCTATTTTTAGGTACCCTTTCAACAGTAGCAGCTGCAAAACTATAAAAAGGGTCTCTCCATTTTTTCTAGTACAGAACATTCATTTTCCCAAGTTCATAACTTAATCACTAAAAATGTACTCCAGAAAAATTGGGGATATAGAAATAAACCTTGAATCGACTGCTCAAGGATTTCAATTCCAAGGCATGATTGCTCAAGAAACAGTTCCCGGCCTTTGTCACCATGGTGAAAATGCTATGTGCAAAGTGTTTTGCAAAGTGTCAGGCTTTGGTGGGGAGAGTGGGTTGTTGTTTAACTAAATTTTAAGGTAAATGAACCCAACTGTTTTTGAGCAATACAAGATGGAGAAAGTTTAGAAGCTGTGTAGACTTCGTTGACACTGTCATTCAAAAATGACTTTTAGAAAAAAAGAGACCACTCTCTTACAGAAATAACACTTGGGATGGTCTCATGTCTTTCCAGAAGCTGTTGCGGCACATTCATAATAATTATTTTTCAAAGAACTATAATTATGGCTAATTTTAAATCAAGCTAAAGGGTATAATCCCATACCAGTTTACAAGATCAGCCATCCATCTCCTACGTGTGAAATGAATACATGTCTGAGAGAGGCCCTGACTGCTGATGTGTGTCAATGAGGCCTGGTGCCCTGTGGCCTGTTAGAGGAATGGTGTATTTTTGAGGATAGTCTAAGGACTTGAGCCTGTGAGGACACCTTGCACTTACAAAGCACAGTGGCAGCATTTAGCACCTTGTAGGAAGAGCTTGACGCATCACAAGAGCAGCTGGTAAAGTTTAATCCTGTTTGAAGTATTTCAGTGCAGAGGACTGACACTGTCAAAATACTTTGGTTCTACCACAGAAGGAGGTGAGGATGCTGCAAGTTAGCTCATAAGATCTGTAGCCTCTGATTTCTTCAGCATACAGCTCTGCAGGCCCTTCTGCCTCTCCAGAGCGAGAGGAGATCAGAGGATTTGTTGCTACAAGGATGCTTCTACCCTTTCCCCTGAAATGGAGAGCAAGGCCACTTGTACATGTGATGGGGCTTTAGTCCCCTAAATTGAGACAGTGGGTTTTTAATTGAGATGATTAAAAACACACCATTCAATTTAGGAGCTTCTGTCACTGTTACGGTGAGGGACCCGATTGTTTCCCCTCCCCGTGGAGCCTGCCATCCGCTCCCGCATCCAGGGAGCGAGGTGCTGGCACACCGAGAGACACCTGAGCTGCAGGGGACCCCGGTCCTTCCCTCCATGGTGGTGGTACCCCCTGGGGCCACCTGGGTGGGCTGCTAGCGGGCGGGTGCCACCTGGGACGTGCGACCACTTGGGGCCTGCTGGCAGCTTGCCCCCCACTCATGCAAAGGTGGGCGGGCTCAGGGAAGAGTTGAATCAGGCTGGTCCTGCCTGTGAGGTGCACCTGTGCAGCTAGCACCCCATCCAGGCACCCCATCCGGGTGGCCCCAGGGAGCACCACCGCAAACCCTTCCCTGCACAATGGTGGTGCTCCCTGGGGCCACCCAGGTGGGCGGCTAGCAGGCAAGTGCTGCCCCAGCTCACAGGCAGCACCCAGCTTAATCCAACTGGTCGCTGAGCCCCAGCTGGAGCAGCACCCACCTGCTAGCACCCCACCCAGGTGGCCCTGGGGGACATGACTGCCATGGAAGGGAAAACGAGAGCCCTCTGCAGCTCAGGGGCCACTCGGCCCACCGGCACCTCACCCCCGGCCACAGGAGATGCAGGCAGATGCTGCAGAAAAAAAGATTTTAAAAGAAAAATTGGGAGCCGGGCCACTTGCTGCCTCTCCCCGGTGGAAGGAGAGCAAGCCGTCAAAGGCTGCAAAGTTACAAATAGCTACATTGCAAACTAAACTACACGTGGATATAGCAACATAGCAAACTCATTTAAGTCATTAAAACCCCTTGCATGTGTACAGCATGAGACAATTAAACTGCAAAAGTGGCCAATTTTCGTCATGTGTTCAAGTGTCCCAAAGGGTTAGAGGTTCCTGAGATGGCTGCCCTGACCTGGTTTCCCCTCCAACTCCAGGACCTGGATCGTAACTGAATTTTCCTT